CGCAAAATGATGTTCCGGCAATCAATCTCCGTAACATATTCTTACTTGTTAAACTGTAATTAATCCTTTGAATTACAACTGCAGGTTAATTGCAAACGCTGTTCACCAGACTGATGTTAAAGTTAATGATTTGTTCCATTATGGGGGGTTGCCCTGACCTGCTTCCGCGCTAAAGTCTTTCAGTAGTCGCCCTCGTCTCGTTATCGCATCTTTGATAAAAGTCAGGGAATGCATAAATTTACGATTAGCGCAGCTTTTGGTGTTATCAGAATGAAATATTTCTAAAGCAATTTTGATTTTCCTCGCTTTTCATTTCAAGATTTTATTTAGTCATTTTTCATTGAATGCAGTTATAAATATGAACTTCAATTTTTCATGACATCATATCTGACATATGGTTGAAGTAAATATACGTGTCTTGATCAGGAACCGTGTTTATCCGATTAATTTAAACTGTAGTAACAACTGTACAACATACTAAATTATGTTTTAATAACGTAACTGTATCAGCAATAGCATACTAGGCTATTTCTTAAAAGACATTTGAACAGTTACAGCAAAAATAACATTTGAAATAAATGTAACGTACAGTTTATTTTACCGACAGTGTAATAATGTGAAAAGATATTCACCAAACGGAATCGTAAATCATCAAAGACTCATCGAAGAAAAATTGCGTATTGTTATTCTATAATATCGAAAGCTTGTTTTTACATCCACCGTAGATGTTACCTTATCAGGATGGAGTCGTAAGCCTGCAATTTCGTGAGTACACCGTTGTAGCATTCTAAAAGCGAACTAACCGTGCTATGAATAATGCAGTCTCGTACGTCTTGCTCTTCCCGTTGATAATTATGTTTTACATCGTTATACCGTGTTTCGTTAACCTAGCTACGATCGTGCCCTTTGCATCCGCCTCGATGCCACCACCGCTGCATATTCATTGCTTATATCGCCAAATATACGCTCGAGTGGGTGAGACAGGGAGCGGATAAAGGAAATGACAGAAATCAGAGAAATCGGCGGAATTTTGCTTGCCAACTGTGCTCGAAAGTATCAATTGATGTTAAGATGTTAAGCTCGGCGCATGGGCGATAAATGTACACAATTTTCGATGTGGAATCCAAGTTACGGGTTATTAACAAAGTCAGCAAAAGTACCTACTTCCCTTGGTGAAATGCCTCGTCAAACACACCAAGGAAACCAGCGCACTCGGTTAAACTTTCCAACCGTTGACTCGGCTAAGTTCTGCTTTCCTGACGTTCGTGTCGGCGGCTTCGAGTATTTTAACCATCTCCGACGTTACCGACCTCTTTCTCCAACTTGCAACCAAACTTTAATAGCAATCCAATATAGCGGGTTTAGCAGGAAAAGCGAAAAATATCACGGGGCCCCGGCTGCTATCGAACGATAGAAAATTACCGTTCTCTCCTCGCCTCGGATAAATCGAGCTTAGCATCAAGGTTAGCATCAAGTCTCTAATCGCGGGTTAATTGCCCGACGTGGATGGAACGTTTTCCAGGTTGGCTTCGGTGGTGGCGTGTGAAAACAATATATCGCCGGGTAACCGCGACACCACCTACTACGTACGAATCAAGCAAACAGGCTCGCGTATGCTATCTGCGAAATCAGGTGAACTTTCAAGTCCCGAGCATTTCCATGTAGGCACACATGATACCGAAGGTACAAGGGGTAGCGCGGGAGTAATTACAGCCCGCGCGCTGTAACTCCCTATCTACGAGATCGAAATTGCCATTGGACGGCGTATCTTGCGCTGCTTCTTTACGGGCCCGGTTACCCGGTGTACGCTGTTTGCATGTAAACGACGTCTTTACACGTAGCAAAGGTTAACCCGCCGTTTTGTGTCGTCTGTTTCGCTCCACCGACAAATTACAGCTGGATTCTTTATTTCCCACTGGCGTAAAAGAACTAGGCAAGCGTCAAGAAACTCGTCAGCAATCATTCTCCACTGGAGAAAATTCAGCTTGGACAAACCTACGCTCACTCGTATATTCTATTATGCATCTCGCATAGCATGCTGCCCAAAGCTTTTCAAAGCTTGTTACGCTGTTTGAAATTATGCCGTTGGTCCGATTATCTTTCTAGTTCCTTCTCTGTTCTCTGAAAAAGTTCGTCCGTGTTTCAATATCGAGATCAATAATACGCGAATTTGGAAAAATTCTGTTTCACGATCCAGCAAGCTGTATTTTATCGAAACGCAACATCGAATACGGAACGGAAAGGAACGGGAAATTTGGTAAAATTTGACACAGATGTGCCAGAATGTATTCTGAAATATTCGTCCTTTCCCCGGCTTACGCGTGACATACAAGATTTTTCTTTCTTTCTCGCGAGACAGAAAATTTTGCAGGCTTCGGTCTACGTATAGATGTATACGAGTTGGTGTAGTAGACGCTCGTAGAAGATAGACTCGGTTGCATGGCGCACGGCGTCATGAGCGTAACGATATACGTGCTTCGAAGGTCGAGACTGGTTAGGGATTGGCGCCGTATCGCTGATCCGGGCTCGTCCAGGCGTAATTCCACCCCTGGCAGGCCAGTCACGTCTACTGCTACTGCTATTCCCTGCACCCTCATCCCTTCAGCCCCTTGTGGACCATGGCAAAGTTATGCTCGATCCAACCGGCCAGTCCAAGTGTGGATCCTACTACTCGATGCAGAAATGTACTACTATGGGACCCCTTAGTCTCAATCAACTATTTATTTGCGTATGTGTGTGTGTGTGTGTGTGTGTATGCCTAACAAGCCCTCCAAGCGAATTTAAACTCTTTCGAAACTCTATGGAAGAAACGTCGCTTAGGACGTATATTAAACGTTTCAGACATCAAATAGAAAATTTATATATACACTTATTAACAAAAATTGAGAAACAATATATTCCTCTTTAAAATTATTCTTTACTCTTTGATTTCAGAGGTAAATTGGAAATACAAATATAATAGTGTAGCGGATATAATACGAGTAGCAGAAAGAATGAATATAAGTATAAAGAGCACTAGATACAAGTATTTTTTGGAATTTACGTCTATAGATATTGCAATTAATATTGGGAGAAAAAAAATCAATTAAAATCGTAATGGGAAAAGTTAAGGAGTGCTTGATTCGTTTAATTATTTTTAATAGAAACAGCAGCGTACAAACGTTTGTAATTTTTGCAGAGTTCTAACAATATTGGAAAACTCTTAGATATTGATTCAATTAATCTGACACAAAATCAATCAATATTAGATATGTCTATTATTAATTTCACTTTATTAATGAAAGAACGAATTCTTAACTGATGTTGAATATAATTTCATAAGTGGTTGGACTGAACATTTTATTATAGTATCTGTACGATTTAGCAAGATGTTTCAATATATAAAATTTTCCACAATTTCGCTTGTATTAATGTAACAATAAAAACCGAATTAGAATTCCGTTTATTACGTTGTTATAAACATTGAAAAATTTATATAATGAAATCGTTAACTAAACTATTTCTTAACTTTTGACAATAAGTGTACAAAATGCAAAGTATTCATTTGAAAATCTTTTAAGAATTTGATTGTACAGTCATCAGTCTATTATTTAGTTTGTCATCGACGATAGAAATAGCTGTAGTAAGTAATAATTATAGGCAAATAACTGCCGATAACCAGTTCAAGTGACTGATCGAACGCTTTACGGGAATTAGAAATGGAAGAGCAGTTGAAAATTTCACGGTGATTAAAATCATCTGCCAATCTAAACGGTATGATTCAATGTCGTTAACGTCGAGGGACTTCTTTAAGGAATTGATAGAAAGACCAGGTTGGCCAGCTTCTTTTACGAGGCGTCAAACGTTTCACCTCGTTAAAAGGTAGTGGCTCGTGCCGGCATTGGCATTAAGTAATGCGATACGGTCCGTCGCCGACGAAGACGAAGGAAGCGAAGAAGAAAACGAAGAAAACGGGAGGCAGAAGCGGCTGAGAAAAGAAACCAGGCTGGCAGAACTTTCCGTAATTAATACGTTAAACTTTTGCACAACTACACCGGAACTCACGTACCACCGTTGCCCGCTGAATGTCAATGATCAAAATCGCTTTTTGATATAATTCCCAAGCCGTGGCCCGAAAACGTGAGCTGAAGAGCGTCCCTGGCTGAATGCAAAAGATCCCGCCACGCTCGTTCCGTTGATACGGATAGATCAATTTCTTCTATGACGTTGCAACGTGAGATGTTGAGGATCTCACGTTGCAAGCCTCTTACGGGCGAACAGGTGTAATTCTTTCGGCGATTAGCGATAGCTCATTATCCTCGTAATTAGTAGTTTGTGTAATGAATTTAAGTGTTTCCACTTTGGGAATTAACATACTAACTAACTCCGCTAATTCCCCAAACTCCATTTCTAATTCGAGTTCACCGAAGTTCATCCTGCCTCTTTCTCTCTTCCTTAAATACAAACTGAATCGCAGGTGGCAAATTCTGTGAATCGTGCTGCATGTAAAGTAAATGTTCGCATTTACTTCACCGGCGTTCCCGGTATTATGCCAACTCGCTGTTTATGTTTTGCACGTTGGCAAAAAGGAATTTCTGACGCACGATATCCCCTATTTATACGCGATCCATATTAAAATATTTTTTTCATGGAAAGTTGAAAAGATAGAAAAATTTAAAGATAAATCGTAAATTCCTTAGGAAGGAAAGAATCGATTGAAAATCAACTGCTCGTAGACCTAGTACAATTTATATTCCGCATCGTTTTCCCGAGCGATATATTCGTGCCCAATATCTCCAGGTGGTAGATGCTTATCGATTCATTCCAAACACGATTACGTTAATCTCGATACACCGGACGGAGTTAATAGATCTCGCGTACGGAATCGGCTGGAGCGTGGTCTTGCTAAAGCTATTATTTAGTCGGTAGTTCGACCTGAAATTTACCGAGGTAAAGTACAGGCTGGCTGGCGAAGTAATTTCCTTCGTGGAGAAAGTAGAAAATCGAAACGATCACGGATGCTTGAACGTATATACAATGTCCTGGTCATATTCCAATATATTGGTAATATCGATGTTTGTGAGGGGAGGAAGAGGCTTCTGCGTGGTGGATGGGTGATAGGTGCAAACAAGAAACGAGAATCCCCTTGGCCGATTCCTCTCTCCTCGTGTATCGTGTGCCGAAGAGCAGACCAGCCTATGCCAGACCAGGTTTAGAACCAAGGCTGGAGGGCCACGTGCAGAAAGAGCGAAAGAGAATGAACGAGAGAGAGAGAGAGAGAGAG